CACCTCAGCCTCCCAAAGGCGCGGGATTACAGGCTGAGCCACCGAGCCTGGCTAGAGAGGTTTTTTAATAGCACATGTCCCTCTGCCCCTTTTGGCTTCTTATCTGGATACGATAGATGGTTATGAAGACCTCACTAACTGTTTGTTTACCTTTTATGTGTGTAAAGCTTTGCAATAGCTTTTAAAGTGTAATTTATTTTTCTATCAAGTGCACTATTCACTCAGTGTGTTTCAGTTGTATATGGCTTGTGTTAGAAACACTGCACCGAACTGTGAGTTGTTTGTTCACTGAAATGAGAACTTTAGATGTGACCCCATTCAAATAAAACTTTTGTGAGTCACTTGTGTTTTTCTGAGCTGTTTTCCATTTCTTGGAAGTGTGCTTCCTACACACTGACCTCAACAGAATTAGACCGAGGCTGCTGTTAGGGAGGCGAAGGAGTGGAGAGAAGTGGCAGCACAGCTGTCGGGTTCAGGCCAGCGTTTGTGGCGTGCATGTTGGCGCAGGGGCGTCTCCAAAGGTTGTGAACCTCACTGGTCACGCCCCACACCCTGGCTGGCACAGTGGTCACCAAGGACCAGCAGGGTGCATAGGAGTGCAGCTGTGGGCGTCAGGTCTAGGCTCCACTACTCCATACCCGTGAGACCTTGAGTAAATTATTTCACAGTTCACAAGCCTGCACCTCAGTTTCTCTCCGAAATGACACATGAGCGTGCGTCACAGTGTCTGGTAGAGCAGGTGGCGTTCACCCCTGGCGGCCCCAGCCTTCTCCAGGATTGCCCTGCACCACGCGGGGAGGAATGGCGCTGCCCAGTGGGTTTTCGGACTTCTCCTGGGCAGTCACACAGCACCACACGGGTGCTGGAAGGCTTCTGAGAAAAGTTGGGAGAGTCTCCTCTTTCTCTCTCCTCCCTGGGGGACAGGCCCCATGGGGCCCTGGAAGCCAAGGAGCTTTTCTTGGCCCTTGGGAGATGTGTCGGGAGGAGCAGGACCCAGGCCCAGCTGCCTGCACTCAGACTCCTAACAGGAACTTTCTGGCAGTAAGCAGCGAAAGCCACCGACAAGTAAGGAAAGCAGCTCATGGGAAAGACAAGGACCAATAGGACAGTGGAGGATGGGCCGACACCGAGGGAAGACAGTATGGGCAGGCACAGACCGGTCTCAGCCCCGTGCTCACTGACCCAGGGTGTCAGAGGCACCTGGCCCGGCTGTGGTGGCCCCACGGAAAGCAAGTGGATGCTGGACTCCCAGAACAACTGTGAGATAAACCCAGTGTGTGACAC